ATGCATGATCGACAACTATCACTACGATTTTTTTTAAATCCCTTTAGTTTTAGAGTTATTCCGCTAAAACGAATTTGGTACTTTTAATGCGCAAAATTCAACATCTCCTGTCGCATGTCACGCGAACTTCAGGCATATATTTGTTTCACAAATTTGGGCGGAGCCAACGTCAAAACTTTTTTGGCATGCTCCCTCTTAAAGTACGCTAATTTCTACTTTTCTTTGTCCTGCCCCTGAAACACAGTTTTTGCAGGGAAATAAAGTTTTCTCATGTTTTTATGATAGAATCAGAAAATGGTATTCACAAAAAATGCCAGGAACAAAAGTCGTGTTACATAGTCTTATGAATCACCAGGCCCTCAACAGACGGCGTGATAGAGAAAACGTACGTAAATACAGTCATAACTTAGCAAGCCATTAAGAATAGACAAACATTGCGAAAAGTAATCTATAGTGTGTTATGACTCGTTAAACCGCGAACCAACTCTACATATTCAAGGAAAGTGCTTACCTTTGAAAAGAAAGTTTATCTTTAAAAGCTGGAAGACATCCAAACTTAATTTTCTCTTATGAAATATACAAGGTGGAAAAAAACCCTTAAATGCTTAAGATAGGTAATTTCAGTTACAGGACATATTCATTTGTTTTTCTTAGTATGAACAACTGCATTCGCAAATTTTTGTTTAAAGATTAGTCAGGCAATCGAACCAACTAAAAATGCAAAAAAATGAACACTCTATTATGTACTAATCCGTAGGATCAATGACAAGGATGAAATCTCCTATTCAACATTGGATCTTACATTTAAAGACGTCCATGGAATCAAATATTAATCTAATATACTATTGACTCGTATACACGTATGCACATCATATTTTAAGACCCTATGTTTATTGGAGACGTTTTATGCTTATCATTGATCCTATTGATTAGTTCAATAAAATAGAGAATGTTTATTTTTTTTGTATTTTTGCTTAGTTCAATTTCTGTCTCATGAAAGCTTTTTCGAATCCTATGAATGAATGAATTCGTATTAAGATAAATAAAAGAATGTTAAGTCAAAAGTCCAAGATCAAGTTTTGCCAAAGAGCGATGGAACGCAGCTTATTAGGTGTAATAAGAGGATGGATAGAATCCGGAAAAATACTCTGCGGTCGAAGATATGCATAATCGATGTTGGGAAAAGGACAGTCAGGCTAAAATAAAAAGAGATAGACTCTTATAACCACTTGGTGGATGCCGGAGAACGGCCAGTGACCACGAGACAGTCCAAGAAGGAGATGACAGGACGACTTGGACGCATATGTAAAGGACTGGTCTTACATTGCATCAAACAGGGAACTCTGGAAGTCAAGAAGAGAGGTCTTTGCCCAGCAGTGAGATACAGTAGGCTAATTAAAAAAAAAGTGTTTCTGTTCCGTTTCCATTCATGTCCCGTTGTTTTTTTCCGCCCTGTATAGGTACTCGTACAGATAAAAAATATGGTTATGTCTGGAATCAATCATGAGTATATTTTGATTCTCATTTGGCTGTGTAAATTCATCCTAGAGAGGAGGAAATTCATCTAGCGCAAGAAGATGCGTTAAAACACTAATGCTGTATTCCTGTAAAAAATATATACTCTAGCCTAGAGTAATGCAGTTCAATTGGCACTCTAAAACATAAAGTTTCGTTAGATAAAAAAAGAATGAGTATCCTAGAAAGGAGAAAATTGATTGCCTCAATCGGCAACAAGAAATGTGCTCTCGCACAAGACAATGGTTCAAAACGCGGATGCCGCATGCCGCACAAATTACACCCTGTATGATTATATGATTCTCTCCCATACACTCTTATTTGCTTGGCTTCCTCGTTCAGCTTGATTGTTTGCTTTCTATCATCGATTATCGAAAATTGACCCTATTATTATATTACACGGTAAGTTGTAAATTATATATAATCTTATGTTTTTATCTGCGTTAATAACATTTGTCAAAGTTTATTATAACTGTGGTCATCGTGTATTTTATAATCAAACATCATAAGAAACTTTTAGTTGTTAAATATTGGTAAATTGTTACGTAACTTACTATATTGTAAAAGTGTTGACTTAGTACGTTTGTTTCTTGTTTTGAAAGTTTCAAAGAGAGACTCGAGGCTGGCAACGAGGTGTTTCCATATCGAAGTCAAAGTCAGAGTCAAATAATCATTTATTCCATAGGTAAAATATATTTACACTTGAAAACGTCACATTATATCGAAAATAGAAATAGAGAACGAAGCAAGAAAAATAATCATAACTCTAATTTTATTTGTTGTATGGAAACGCTGAAACTATCTAGTTTTTCACATAACAAGTTAAATTAGTGTTACGATATTTTCCAAATGCATGTTACACGTTTTACCTTTTTAAGCGTCGTATATATTCAAGTAATTTGAAGACTAAATTGCAGATTAAACGAGATAAAAATCTGCATATGCATCGTCATTTTCACTGTAGGTTTTGTAAGGCAACATCGATCGTTATCAAATTAATTAATGCCATCAATTAGCAACCTTAGAGTTAAGTCCAAACTCGTGGTACCACGATTTCGTTTAACCAAGGTAAACGACTCTTTTATGGGGAACTGTATACGTTTTTACAATAAGATTTCGGAGCATATATTAAGATTATCATTTCCTAAGTTTAAAAATTACATTTAAAATATTTTGATTGAAAAGTCAGATAAAGATGTTAGATAAAAATGTATGGAAGGACGACATGGCTCCAGAATTTACACAAATTTGGTTCAAAGTGAATTCCATAGCATTTAAGTTTATTTGAAAAGCGCAATCTAAGTTTATTTGAAATTAGAGTTTCTTGCTCGTTCTTCTCAGGGAAGTCAGCGGAGTGAACGAGCAGTAGCGTAAATGAGACGTTTTCAAGTGTAAATTTATTTTACCTAAGGAATAAATGATTGTTTCACTTTAACTTTGAATGCCTTTCTTCTGACACTCTATTGCAACTACATTTTACCAAAATAACAAATATTATCATAATTGCAACATAGTATCAGTGGAGTCACCATGGAAGTAAATACAATGACCAGTAGTTGGAAAAATATTAACGTACTTGGGGTCATGTACCAGCATACATAAGAATATTGGTAAATATTAAAGAAAGAGTTACTTGCAGATCACGTTTTGCTTTGCCACTTAGAATATTTTAACTATGACTTCAATATAATTGGTAATTTATACTTGAAATCGGTAAATTTGTAATAAAATATTGTATTATTATTTATTCATAAGGCACAAGTAAAGTACATTATAAATACATTACAGTCTAGCCAAATACAAAACTAATACATAATTTACATTTCACTTATTCTAACAAATATACTAAATTAAGAGTTCAACCACAGGGAATTTTCTTATTATCTTTTAAGGCGAAGATACTTTTATCATGTGATCTTTTTGTTCACTGTCACTGGCGCTATTTAATAATAATAATAATAACGCACACACTCAACATAGCCCCGCACTAGGGAAACCCTGAGTCGCGGGTGCCATGGACACACACATAGACAACCACAAATCACACCCAAACTCACGAGAGAAATAAATGTACGTCATACAAATATTTCTCCCGGCCCGGGAATCGAACCTGGGACCTCCGCGTGGCAGTCCGGCATGGTAACCGTTCGGCCACAGAGGCAGTTTAGTTTATTTAGTTTAATCATACACTAACTGTAAATGAATTTGTTCGTTTTAAACGTCTTATGATATTTGTGTGGTCTAAGAAGCCTCAACGTTCACATGATGGTGAAGTCTGCGTAGGTGGGCTTCGGCGTACTTCTGCGCTATGTTGTCTACGGATTCCATTTCCAAGTTTCGTTGGAGGTCTTCGTTTTGTACATACCAAGCTGCATTTGCAATGTTCCTAAGTACTAAAATATAGTCACTTTTTTGAATAAGCCAGAGATATTCCCACTAAAGCTAATGAAAAAGATATCAATTAGATAACTAATTTACAAATTTACACATTGTTAGGTCAGGTAAATACCATATGACAATAAAAGTTAATAATAAACAATAAAAAAAATAATACAAAAAAATAAATAAATAAAAAAATATGAATATATTGTGAACATATGTTCACAAATAAATTGAAAAGATTCTTAGTATCGTTTAACTGTTTTTGTAATTTACATGTGTTTTTTTATTATAAATCTATAAATAGATAAGGATAATGGATAATGTAATTATTTAATACAAAGATCGAACGCTTAGAAAAAAATCCTTCGACCCGGCCGGATTCGAACCGACATCTTCTAGCAAACCGGCTGACGCTATGCCAACTAATCCACAGAACGAACCAGCAGACCTCACGAATTTTTCTATGTGCTTGTTGTCGGATCTTTGTACTTGGTTTCCAACGACTTTTTAGCCGTAGCGCCATCTATGAGAAATCTATGAATTATTTTTTTTATCACCCAGGTAGATTACAACTACCGGCCCTGGCTAGAGATGTCAATATTAACTGTAATTAAATTTTTATTGAATTGATGTACAATTATTTTTTGTGAATAGATAATGTACTTAGTAAGTTAAGTCGCAATGCCCTTTCAGTGTTTCTGTCGGGTCATGTAATAAGTTTAAGACCTTTTTCTGTACTACACAAAGCTATAAATTATATGACTATGTTGTAGTTTATGTCTAGTTTCTATGTTACACAAAATTGACATAAACTTAAATTATGCTATGGTAACATAAAGTCGTTGCTACTCGGTTCCGCAGAGGTGAATAGTGGCTTAGTGTAACCAGTGTTGTGCAGCGTAATTCATATTTAATGACTTAACTAAACAATTATCCCCCATGTATACTACCAACGAGAAATACAACTAAGTGTAATCTATGTAAGCCGCTAAGTATAATGTATGTTATTCTACTTATTAAGTGCATACGTCCTACTCAATAATTGCATATGAGTTGTGTGACGTGGGAAAGTCTGTCTCATACATATTATTAATTTGTTACAGATTGCACAATCTATCTGCACTGGACACTCGATAGCAGGTAAGATAAAGTCTACTTTAGAACATTAAAGCTCCTTGTAAAAGGGTTCGTCCAGGAAAGTACTACCACCTTACCTATTTCTGCCGCCAAGCAATAATGTCAGCATTACTGTGTTCCGGTTTTGAAGGGTAAGGGTGCTGGTGAAATTACAGGTAGGACTTGTCAACTTTATGTCTGGTAGCGCAGTGCAGTGCCCCTCAGATCTTGGCGACTTAAAACTCTGAACGGCATTGCAACTGTTAGGTCCAGGCGTGTCGGCTTGTCGTATTCCAGAACTCTACTCAATGCTCAAGTCAGGACTTGAGCAGACTTGTGTATGATTTCAAGCACTGGAAATACGACCCTAATGGCAAGGACTTGAGTGTGATTTTCAGTGCTCACTGCAATATGCAAGTCCTGACTTGAGCATTGAGTAGAGTTCTGGAATACGACCTTTAGTATCATAATAAAATAAGTTTGTTAGTTACCATTCGGTTTAATCTGACTAACGTAGATACGACACAACCTCAAATGGGTGTCCGCATAACAGTGGAAATGTTGAATCAATCACACTGATTAGTGTATGATGTGAAAACACGATACCTAAAAATGTTCACTATAAAAAACTCAAACTTACCTCGAAATTGTACAAGAAAACCGTTGTATTCAATACGTACTTTACAAAATTCATTTTTTTATATCAACTGAACTAAATAGAGCTCGTAAACCATGAACCAATAACTCAAGTGGGCTTCTAGTCGAGCGATCAAGACAGCGTACTCGGGTATTTAATACCTATTGGAACGACCGAGCGACGGCGCGACGAGTACCAAATAGCTATTTTTGTAACTAATTTGTTTTACATTGACGAGCTGCAATTTATCAAAGCTCCTCTAATTTCTATCAATAACAAACAAATCAACAAGATGGCGCTTATTGCACATTTTTATAGACGTTGCGGAGTGATTCTTTTATTTTGTTCAGGATTAGCGCCATCTACCCATATTTGCAAGCGTTAATTTATAAATTTGTTCATAACACACAATGAATGAATGAATGATATTTATTTATTTGTATAAAATATGGTTTACGAAGGTAGTACAAGTATGCATAATCTAGGATGTCAACATTTTGACAGCTAAACAATTCTAAAGCAAGTCTTATATAAGTATTAAGATAACATATTATAATACTAAGCTATTGCCATGTCATGACGATGTTAAAAAATATAAACAATATAAACACTTTATTTCCTTGTTAAATAAGTTAAGTGGTCAAATTTATTGAGATTTATATATAAAAAAGTCATTAATTGAATATAAATTTTTGTCTCTTCGCCGTGACATCAGCTGATGTTTAAATAGAAGATTATTATTTATCATTTTTTTTTCAGAGGGTTAATGATTACCTATATATGGTCACACACATTGCCCCGCACTTGTTTCTGGTAGTAACTTAGTTTACATTTATATTGAGAAAGTCTCGCGTGTTTTTAAAAAGTCTTACTATTTATTATTCTTTACAAAATTGGATACTTCAAAGATGTGCATACAAGGCCGCGGTAAGATGTTAAGAGATTTAAATAAGGTACCATGTAGACCGAAAGAAATATTTGAATAATATTAAAAGGAAAAACTGACTACTTATATAAAGAGAAATTTACCATTTTACCATTTACATAAACTACTTCCAGGGTATTGGTCAGCGCCACCTGTACATAAGACGGAAATTGGACCTTTTCAGAGTCACTATTGAGTTTATTGGTCCAAGGTAAACGCAATAATCGAAAGAGGTATTTTTAACCCTGTTTTGTTAAAGACTTCAAACAAAAAATTATTACCGTTTTACATCTCTGTGTGTGGCTCACAGTATACAAAATCACGCCTTAGTACTGGAATTTATGTATTTCTGTGTATCTGGTTTTCGTATAATCAATCCGGAATTTTACAAATTTTCTAAAATCATCACTTGTTGACAACTTCGAAGAAAGTTACCGGCAATTAAACATGAATATTCAATCTCTTTCGTAATATGATAATGCAAAACTGAACTTAACACGCACCTGTCGGCTTATTATCCAGTTATTTGGTTTTTTTAATTATTTTTTAAGCTCGGTTCCACTGCGCAAGTTACGCTTCTTGTTTTAGTAGCTTCCTTGTTTTAAATATTATATATATACTATATATATATTAACTTATATTAATTATATTAATATTATAATATATATTAACTTAAGATGATTCTGATTTCGAACTCAATTTACTAATTATTTCTAAACATACAATTAAGTAGCGGTAGAGTTACTTGCGCAAGTGTTCGTCCAGGGAAGTACTAACTAACCTTACCTATTTCTACCAGCAAACAGGAATGTGAGCATAACTGCGTTCCAGTTTTCAACCCCATTATTTAAGTAAATATTTTTGTTTTATTTATTTTCTGTTTTAAACAGTATTAATATAAATGCAATTGCTTTCGTGGCCGAACGATTACCATGCTGGTCTGCCACGCTGAGGTCCCGGGGTTCTCGAGGCTGGGAGAAATATTTGTATGGAATAGATGTAGTGTATGGTGACGTATTTATTTCTCTCCTGACTTTGGGTGTAATTTGTGGTGTTGTATTTCTGTGTCCATGTCGACACGGGGTCTCTCTAGTGCGGGGCTAAGAGTGTGGGCGTTATTATTATATTATTATTACATAGTGATACAAACTCTTCTGGATCAATAGATCGATTGTTTGACTAACTACAAACGTGCACGCGGTGGTCATACGTACGAGATCGAATTCCATTCTTAAATATGAACAAGTTTATTGCACCTCGACTAAATTTCAACTTTTGTTATAAATATAAATACAAGTCGATCGAACATAAAAATATATGACCCTGGTTCTAGTCTTGCCGGATCGAAGGGATTTTTCTTTGTGTTAATAATTGAGACAAAGGAAGTTTAACAGAAGCATAGCGAGCGGACGTCCATGATCTCTGTAGTTATTGTTGCTAAAATATTAAAAAATCTATATACACTTTCTTTAATCTGCGAGAATTATGCAACAATCCTTACCAAAAATTCTAGCCAAAATAGCTGGTGCCTAAACGTATACAAAGGCCAAACCCAGTCAGACCGGCCCAACTTGTTTAATCGTCGATCATCACCCGATATGGACGAAAACCGTTGGATGCAAAAAAGACTTTACCATATTAAGAATCTATTTTTTTATCTTTATTTCTTTCAAATCGATAAATATTTGAACTACGCTAATGAATCTTGAAAAACTATATTCATATTAGGACAAATTCCCCCATTACAACATAAACCCATTTACACATCCCACTGCTGGGCGCGGATCTTTTTTATGAAATGTAAGTGCGCATTTGACCTCCATCTCACCTGATGGAAAGTGACGATGAGGTCGACGATGGAGCATGCACACCTAAATAATGCCTATTCACTCTCGCCTTGAAAAGGTCCAAGTTATAACGTTCAGGGAACAAGTCAGCAGGCAGCGAATTCCACTCCATAGCCGTTCGTTATATAAATGTGGAAGCGTAACGCTTCGTGCGAATCTTTGTTTACTACCTATTTCTGCCGCCAATCAGTAATATTAGCATTACAGAAATAGGTAGGCATGGACCCTATTACATTCATTTAATTGAATCCTAACCATTATATATAAGCGTTTAAAATATATTTCATTTTACAAAGTTATTTAACACCACGTTTACTAAAGGTCATGTCATAAGAAGGCTTTTCTTTTCAAAAATCTTTATGTGTCTCATTAACTTTGACATTTGCGCGTCATGCAAAAAACTTTATGTAAAATTTATGGCGGCCCGCACACAAAAAGCATGGAAGCTGCCGCTGTTCCACATTACTTAATTACACCTTGCGTACACAACGTAAGGTGTAATTTTCAACAATACATTTTGACAGTTTGACTACAACCAGTGTGGCCCACCTACTGGTAGTCACGACTTATGACGTAATAACTTTCTTTCAGGAGAACTCTTGACATACATTATTGCATTATATTGCCTCACTTTTTACATATAATAGCATTTTTTAAATAAAGGTATTTTAACAGCACTGAGTGATGAATTGCTCATTGGGTGAGTTATAAAATAATCTTGAATATTATATAACGTGTTATTGACAGATCCATATCTTTCGACGTAAGTTCTGCGTATAATGCACCTACCTATCAAACTCTTGGTTATACTGGAAGAGCACTATTACTTGCGCAAGCATGCCTGCACAAAGACCTTATCAGTCAGATCCTGACCTCAGATCAGCCCGTTTACACAAACTTCATCCGGTGCTCAAAAAGGCCAATGCCTTGAGCGAGCGATCCCAAGTGCACGTACAGCACCCTCTCTGTTGTCAAGATAGGTACCGGAGCTGTTGGCACTATCACCTCCCGTTATGCATTGCATAACCAGCAGTTGCCACTGCTACGCCGTTGAATCTAAATTCTACTACCAAATTTCCTCTATCGCGCCGAAGCGTCTCTCAAATTCCCAAAATTCCAAAAGACCAAAAGATATCTAGCTTATCTTCTAGTTGGGAATAGTGGTTGACCATGGCTGTGATACTGGGTGTTGATTTGTTAATTACTAAAACATAATTCTAGGATCGATAGGCTTGATCACACAAATCGAGAAAGCTAAGCGTGTTAGTATGTACGTTCCTAGGTACCAGAGCCAAAGAGTCCATAATATGTCATGATTTACCTATTTAGTTCTTCTATTGACTATTTTAGTACCACTATGGATCCCTCTATGGTATTTGCACCTACCACCCACTTGTTTAGTTGTTGTATTGACTACTTTGGTACCATTTCGGATCGCCTTGTGGTATTCACGCCTAACTTCACACTACCACCTCAACGACAATTATAAAAGGCCCGTGGTAAGGGCGTGCAGCTCAGTCTTGATCCGATAGTGAACTTAGAGAATAAATAATATTGAATTTAACCTCAATAATCTCAGTACAGATTACTAAAAAAACCGACCTCAAAAGTACGT